GTGGCTTGCACAGCTGGTCTTGTGTGGCCCTAGGTGCTGGGTGTTGGGAGTTGGTGCTAGTCTCTCCATTAATGGTCCAGGCAGTAGGGGCAGTGACTCAGGGCTGGCACAGCACTAACATGGGTCCCTTTAGATATTCTGCTTCCTCTGGCTGTGGTAAGTGAGCAAGTGGATCCTGTCATCGCTGGACTGGCCCTATGGGTACTGTACCTACCTCTGGCCCAGGTCCTAGTTCTCCCTGGATGAGGGAAGATGAGGCCCTCTGTTCCCTGAGTCCATTTGGAACAGAAACAGAAGAACTTGGCTGTTAAAGCCACCTCTCTCTTCCCTGTCATTTCCTGGACCTTCCTGTTCAAAATCGGTTGGCCATCCTGCTGAGATGAGCCACTGCCTCCAACCTGTGCTGTCCAGTTTATTTCCTGGTGGGTGTGGGGTAGTAAGGAGTATTGGAAGGAGGAAGCCATGGAGGGGGGGGGGGGGGTGTTGTCTCAGAGCATCCACCCTTCCAGTCCCCAAGATAGCACCTTCTCCAGCTGGTGCTCATGTAGAGCCCAGAACTCATGAGGGCTGCATAGGAGACATGGAGAGCATGGGGACCAGACTCTGAGCTGCATCCCTACCTGCTATTTGCCCCCTGAGAGGTATGGAGCATGGTCACACACTCACATACTCACAATGCTCAGTTCTGTTGCTGGCTGGTCCGTGAATGTTACCCCTGAGCTTTGGCTACCTCACCTGAGAAGTGGGCTCATGTTGACTGCTTCCTGAAGTCGTGATGAGGAACTTGGAACTGTGGGGTCAGATACTTTGGTAGGGAGATGAAATTTCTTTCAGGTATATTATTATTATTATTATTAAGGGGATATACAAAGGAGTTATAATTGCATGTCAGGTAAAGAGTACATTTCTTTTTGGAAAATGTCACCCCTTCCCTTGCTTTCTCCTAGCTTTTCCCTTCCATCTACACTCACAAGTTGTATAGCTCACTTTCAACAGTATCTAGTGGGTACTACTGCTGCATTTGTTCACCAGTTGTCCCTCCATTTCTGTGCCTCTCTCCTAAGAACTATGTTATGTGAATAAAAATCATTTTACTTCTTTGCAGGTTGGATGCATTTACTTCATTTTCTTGCCTAATTGCTCTAGCTAGGACTTCTATTACCATGTGGAGCAAGAATGGTGACAGCAGCACCCTATCTAATTTGTGATCTTATGGAAGAGCTTTTAGCTGCTTATCATTGTGTGTAATGTCTGCTTTGGGAATTTTTTTTTCCCCTGGTACCCAGATTTGAACTCAGTGTCTCATACTTGGCTGGATTGCTCACTCACTTTGATGGTGCTCTACTACTTGAGCCATGTCTTTAGCCCAATTACTGCTTTTAGGAATAAAAGGAAACTTCCTCAGAATAATAAAGCCCATGTAGGAAAACAATATAGCTAACCAGTAGTTTAGTGGCTCATGTCTGTAATTCTAGTTGCTCAGGAGTATGCAATCCAGAAGATTGTGATTGACAGTTTACACTGAAGAAATAGAATTAAATGTATACCTTATATTTTATATAAAATTTAACTGAAAAAAATCAATCAACAGGTTAAATATAAGATCTAAAATTAAAAGAAAAAAGCCGGAAGTGGCGCTGTGGCTCAAGTGGTAGAGCGCTAGCCTTGAGCTGAAGAGCTGAGGGACAGCGCCCAGGCCCAGAGTTCAGGCCCCATGACCAGACCCCAAAAAAAAACAAAAAAAAAAATCTAAAATTATAAAACTCTTAGGGAAAAAACATGAAATAAGTGCTTATGACTTTAGATTTTACTATGGATTAATAGATAGGATACCAAAAGCATGAGCAACAAAAGAAAAAACTAGACTGATCAAAATTGAAAAGTTTTGTGCATCAAAGATCAACAGAGGAAAAAAAGTAACTGACAGAGTTGCAGAAAACATGTACATGTTACATATCTGATAAGAGTCTAGCATATAAACAATATCAGGAAATCCTACAGCTCTACAATAAAAAGACAAATTGAGTTTTTTTGAGTGTGTGTGTTTGCTGGCTATCAAACCCAGGACCTTGGGCATACTTGGTAAGCACTCTGCCACTGAGCTACATCCTGTCCCATCCCTGCCCCACTTTTTTTTAATCCCATCCCTTTTTGAAAGTTTATGTGTTTGCAGGATTTTGTCCAAGTTGTCTTATTGGTCTATAATTGTTCATATTTTATAATAGTCATAATAGTACTTTATAATATATTTATAATAATAATATACTATTCATAATAGTTTTTTTTTTTTTTTTTGTCAGTCGTGGGGCCTGAACTCTGGGCCTGGGTGCTGTCCCTCAGCTCTTCAGCTCAAGGCTAGTTCTCTATCACCTGAGCCACAGCGCCATTTCTGGCTTTTTCTGCTTATGTGGTGCTGAGGAATCGAACCCAGGGCCTCATGCATGCAAGGCAAGCACTCTACCACTGAGCCACCTTCCCAGCCCCTATAATAGTATTTTATAATAGTTCTTTTTATTTCCTTAAGGCCAGTACCAGAGTCTTTACTTTCATTTATAGTTTCAGCAATTTGAGTCTTCTCTCTTTTTCTCTCTTGGTCAGTCTAGCTAAGTGCTTATCAACATTTGGTTTGGTTGATTTTCTCATTGCTGGGCTCATTTATACATAAATATTTTACTTGCTCTCATTTAAGAGCCCTGCATTTGGATGAGAGAAAAATTTGCTCAGGCATTTGCTTCCCCATCATCAGGTGATACCCGAAGGTTGTAAAAAGTCTGAAATAATGCCCTTCTTGATGCTTAGACCTGAGAGCACAGATTCCTGAAGAGGTTACTCCAGCCACACTGAGCTTCCCTCCCCAGGAGCCCATGTGCCGTATGGCTCCAATCCAGGGAGGTCCTGGTGGTTCCTCTTGACATTGGTCAAGGTGACTGAGTGGCTCAGAGACTGGGCTGAGGATTGGGACCTATATCCTCAGCTTATGCTAAATGCTAAGTGGCCGTTTATAAGACCAGGCCTAACATCTGCACTGCAGTATATACTGCTTTCACAATGGTTGAGTTTAGGCAGTGGAAGAGGGAAACTCTCACCATCTCCCAACCCTGATATAGCTGAGCCAACTCCTAGCATCTGGTCTAATCTCCAGGCTCTGTTCATCTGTAACATTACCAGCTGCTCTTGTCATTCATGTCCACATTGGCCATGGACACGGTTTCATTAGGGGGAGGGACACTAGACAACATAGTTGGTTTCTGTATATGGACAAATAAGTTGTCTCCCCTCCCCTTCTCCCGTCCCTCCTTTCCCCTCCCCTCTCCTCTTTTTTATCTTGTAACCAAGATAAGAAACTAACAAGTTGAGTCAGGTACTGGTGGCTCATGCCTCTAATCCTAGCTACTGAGGAGGGTAGGAAAGTCCATGAAACTCTTACCTCCAGTTAACCACCAGAAATCCAGTAGCTCCATGGCTTAAAGTAGTAGAATGCTAGCCTTGAACAAAATTGCTGAGATAGCATTGAGGCCCTGAGTTCAAGCCCCACGACTGACCAAAAAAAACTTGTGTGAAGGAATTTTGGAGTCCATTTGTTAGGGTGAGCTTACTATCCAGTGGGAACAGGGGTTTGGGTCTCCTGACTAGCTCTGGCAACATACACTGCCCACAGGAATCATTTTGTTCCTATTTCCTAGTCTCTTCATTTTTACATCAGTGTTAAAAAATGTCCTATTAATTTGATGGGAATAAAATTGGTATCAGCACCTTCAAGTTCCCACATAGAAAATAAAACAAAAGAAAAATTCAGTCATGTTGTGTGACTGAAACCAATATTTGGAACCTTGGTTTTTGATGGATTAGTAGTGTTTGCCCTAAGTAAAAACTATCTGCCTAGTTCATGTTGATGGTATCCAGGTGTCTCATTTCCCTGAGTTTCTCCTATGTAATATTCTGTAGTTGACCCAAAGAAAAATGCCATATCATCATCATCATCATCATCATCTGGTAGTAATGGGATTTTGAACTGTCCTGGGTCTTGCCCTTGCTGGGCTGAGTTCTCACCACATATTATAGATGGCTGCTCTTCTGTTGCTTTTGTGTGTGTGTGTGTGTGTGTGTGTGTGTGTGTGTGTGTGTGTGTGTGTGTGTGTGTGCGCGCGTGCATGCGTCCTTGGGCTTGAACTCAGGGTCTGGGTGCTGTCCATGAGCTTTTGCATTCAAGGTTAGTGCTCTACCATTTGAGCCATACCTCGTTCTATTTGTGGCTTTTTGTTGGTTTATTGGATATAGTCTCACAGACTTTCCTGCCCAGACTGGCTTCAAACCATGACCCTTATACCTCAGGATTACTAGAATGGAACAATACATTTCTGTTGTTAGAATTGTCTCTAGAAGCTTATCAATATTTTGTGTTATATCCTTTGACATCATCATCATTTCCTAAATACTTCTCAATAGTGACGAGGCCAATGCCTGCTTAGTAGACAGCTCTCTCCTGGGATGAATCTCCAAGCAAGTTTGTAGGGGCCTGGAGGAAATCCAGGGATTGAGGAAGACAGGCCTGCCACCTAGGCCTTGCCATGAACTCTTGGAGGCAGAACTAGGCTGGTGTCCATATGGGATGGCCTTAGGTCTGTTCTTTGCTCCAGAATGCTTCATGGGGAAGTGATGGGTGTGTCTTGGCTGAGACACTCTCTTGCCATCCCTGGGCCCTGGAGTGCCAGGGTGGTGATGGCCCTCACTGAGGCAGCCTGTGGATGAGTGGCCTATTCAGTAGCTCCTCATAGTGACCATCTCTAACACTGGGTCTGGGCTGAAGATTTAGATCCAGGAAGGCAACTGTGCAGCCCTTTCCTTCCCCTCTGTCCTGAAGAACCGTAATCTCCACACAAGGCTGTTATATCTGGCTTTAGTCCCATTCTGTGAGCAGGGACCCTCCCTCAGGCTTGGTGGGTAGACGCTTCTAAGGGAGATGAAATGTAAGGGTCATGGTCTGTTTCCTTCCGTTTCAGCTGTGTTGGGGTGGAAGAAGAGGAGGCTCCAGACATTGACATTTACCACTGCCCGAACTGTGAGAAAACACATGGAAAGTCCACGCGTAAGTACTACAGCCTGGGTAGTAATCTGTTCTTGCTGACCAAAGCAGCATGCATTTATCTGGGTTGCAGAAGGGCAGGGTCTCTGCTGGGCATCAGTCTTGACCTTGGGCTGCTGGGGCTGAAATGTGCTTGGTAGCTCCTGATGGCAGTGTTATACTCTGGGGATTCTAGTACCTGGAGATTCTTCCAGCCTAGCTTACTTCCCTAATGGGATACCAACCCCCTCCTGGTTGTTTTCTTCCCTCAAAAGCAATGTTCAAAGACGTTACTACCAGTGACCCCAGCTCAGCTCAGTCATGCCCAGCTGGTCACTGCTGCATAGGGTGGACCCTATATGTGCATCTGTGGGCCAAGCAATAGGTGCCTTACAGTTATGGGGTGGTGGTACCTCAGGTAGTCTTAAATGAGAAGGGGTTCTGGGAGACCCTTGCTTCTGGGTCAGAGAGTGATAGCAGGTCATAGTTCCATTGGGAATGTGGAGTGAAGAGGAGTCCTGAGACAGGGCAAAGGGGTGGGCTCTTCCATGTATGTGTATGTGTGTATGCATGTGTAGGTAGAGGGCTGTTCCTTAGGAGAAGTGTTGGGTTTGCTGTGTCCATAGGCTTCCCAACTTCTTTGCTGCCCCTTGGATTCCCATTGGGTCCTATTTCAGGACCACAGAGGCCAGGTGGGGCTGTGTTTGGTGATGTATCTCAACTCCTATCTCCCCAACAGTCAAGAAGAAGCGGACTTGGCACAAACACGGTCCAGGGCAGACACCTGATGTGAAGCCAGTGCAGAATGGCAGCCAGGTCTTCATCAAGGAATTGCGGAGTCGGACCTTCCCCAGGTAAGAAAGCCTTTCTCAGATGGGACCTGGATGGGGTGGGGCCCAAGAGGTGGGCCCTTCTCCCTTCACCTACTGTAGCCGTAGAAGTCTGTCCCTGTCAGTCATTCCAGGAGAGTGGGTGGGGAGGGAACCAAGAACCTGTTCTGGAGACAGGGGATTCCCCCACCTGGGCCCCAGCACTCTCGTGGATGATTTCCCCCTTTGTTGGCATCTGTCAGGAGCTGGTGAGGGGGACAGAAGATGGTGCCAGTGACTTCTCTTTGGGAAGAAAGCACTTCTCTCCCTACCTCTTATGCCTGACACCTGCCTGGTGGTGTCTCTGCACCTTGGTGGATGTCTTGAGGTGTCTGTAGAGATTTTCTGATGCCCACACCTTTGCTCTGCATGAGGCCCAGGCCCATGCTGGGAGCCCAAGCAGGCCTCCTATGAAGGCAGGCAGTGGCCTGGTGAGAAAAAGCAGCTACTAGATGCTGCCCCCAGTCCAGCTGCCCACAGCTGTCAGATGGTTTGTTTTTGTCTGACAATCTTCATTTCTTCGCTTTGGAAGAATATTACTGTTGAGTTTGTTAAGAATGTTTGTGGGGTTTTCTTTTGATGTTTTAAATGTATTCCCCACTCCCTTCTTGTTTATGTGATTTTTGTTAAGAATCCAGTGTCACTTTTATCCTTCCTCTATGTGTAAAGTATTTTATTTCTCCTCCATCTTCTTCTCTGCTTCTATGTTTACTGAGTTATAATTCACTGGTTGAAAGTGAAGAATTAATGGCTTTTTAAATGTGCCTAGAATCATGCATCTTCACCAGTCAATTTTAGAACCTTTTCCTCATCCCGCCCCCCAAAAGAAATACCTTTATTCATTACCCCTGTCTTACACCCCCTTCCCCACAACCTTAAGCAACTACTAATCTACTTTTGTTCACATTGTATTCACCAGTACTTCATTCCTTTTTTGGCTGAGTAATATTGCATTGTATGACAAAGTATTTTTTGGTTTATCCATTCTTAAGTGATGGGCATTTGGATTGTTTCTACATTTTGACTACTATGAATAATTCTTGTTTAAGTGTTTATGTACAAATGTGTTTGTGTAGTCATATGTTTTCATTTTTTCTAAGAGCAGAATTGCTGTGTCCTATGGTAATTCCTTCTCTAATTGTTTGAGGACCTTCTAGGGTATTCTAAAGCAGGGGCACACTATTTAACATTTCTGCCAGCTGTGTATGGTTAGTTTGATTCTGTCTATCCTAATGTGTGAAGTACCACCTCATGTGTTTTCATTTGTATTTTTCTGGTGACTAGAGATGCTGAGTAGCCTTTCCTTGTGTTCAGGGTTCTTCGTGTATCTTGGAGAAAGGCCTAGTGAGATCCGTTGTCTTGTCCTTTTTTTTCCTTTTTATTATTGAGTTGTAATACAAAATAATGTTCATTATTATATATTCTACATATATGTCCCTTATCAGATATAGGCTTGGAAATACTCTTCCCTATTCTGTGGTAAAAGTACTTTTGTATTTTTAGTATCCTTTGAAGCAGACAAGTAATTTTGATGCTGTCCAGTTTATCTGATCTTTCTCTTTTCCTTGTGCTTTTGTTGTCATAGCTCAGAATCCTTTATCAACTCCAAGGACATGAAGCTTTATCATTGTTTTCTTCTAAAAGTTTTGTCACTGTAGCAACTACAGTTTATTCTTTGATACATGCTAAGTCAAAAGTTTTTTAGGAACAGCAACTTGCTTTTATAATCTTAGTTCTCTTTCACTCTTCTTTCCGTCCCCCTCCCTGATCTTCTATTTCTGTACATAGTGCAAGGACTTACTTCTGGACGCTCAATTCTGTCCCATTACTCTCTATCTCTTCTTACTCTAGTACCCTATTCTCCTGGCTGGTGTCTCTAGAAGTCATGAAGTGTCATCCAACAAGGTCATCTGAATGCCTGACATTTTATCCAACATTTCAAGTAGTTGAATGTAACTTTTCCCACACAATACACTTTTCTATCTCATATGAAAATACTTCTTTCCTATTCTGTGGATTGTACTTTTGATTTTCCAGTCTGGATTTGGAATGAATTTGGAACTCTCACCAGTGAGATAAGAGCTAGAGGTCTGGATTTACCAATGCTAATCTCTACCTAGTGGGAGACTTCTGGCTTCCTAAGCTTACTTGGTACCACCTTGGTATCCCTGGCCTTGCTCAGTTGTCTATGTAATATTTTCTTCTTCCTTTTTTTCCAGTCACTCTGTCACTATTACTTTGTGTTCAACCTAGCTTTCCCTTCCTGACTTTAACTGACTCCTCAACAAAACTGGATACTCCAGTCTCCCTGTCCTAGATGTCCTGTCCTTTCTTGGGTTTTCCTGCTACCTACTTGCCTCCCCTATTGACTGCTCTCTCTGAGACATTGCCTGCCCACACCTCAGCTCTTGGCCCCTGCTCTGAGATTCCACAACCTTTCTCCAGCTTCTTGATCTTCTGTCCGTCTACTGGCACATACCCTTGGGAAGCTGACTCAGACTAGCTTTGTCCCAAGTCTAGCTCTGTATGCTCATTACCCACCGCTCCTGCTTCCAGGCCTCTGTGTGATGTGTTGCTGGTTTCTCTAAGGCATACCCAGCTGTCAGCTTGTGTGCTTTTTATGGACCTGTTCTCAGCATTTCCAGCCAGGGGTTGCTTCAGCAGGGTCCACACACCCAGGGCAGTGCCCAGCATACATTGGATGAGACAGAGAACATGCAGCTGTGTGACTGAACAGATTATGTACCCTCTGGGCCACATGGTCCCTGGAAGATCTCTAGGCTGACTGCACATTCTCAGTCAATTTCCCTTCTGCACGACCGCATCTACCTCTGGATCTGTGGTAGCAGCAACGTCCAGGATTAGACATTCTCACAAGGATCACAGTAACCAACCTGGTGGAGTCCTTGCCCTGACCCTGCCACCTCAGGGTTTGGGGCAGGCAGGGCTGGGCAGGACAGGGGACAGCTAAAGCCTGAGTTTTTATTTCTCCATGTAGCTTTGGCTAAGGCCCTCCCAGCCATGTACCATATAGCCTCTGAGAACCTTCTCCGAGGTGGAATCTTGCTAGTTCTTTTCTGGTCATCCCTGATCCTGGTAGCTGCTGCTCTTGCAGTGAAATTGGATGCATGGAACTTGATAAGTTCCACTGGGTTGATGGGGAAACTTAAGTCCAAGAGGGGTGAGAAAGGTGACTTCTATATCTGAGAGTTTGTGTGGCTGCACTAAGCAGTTCCTAGGTCTCCTGATGGGTGATGTTAGCTCAGAGCCAGGAAGGTGATGTCCCTGCTATGGAGATATGATTTCCTGAGAGTGCCTTGTGAGGATCTCACATCCCAGTGATGTAGTTGGATGTGGGGTTTGACTGGAGACCTGGACTTACTATATCTGCCCAGGAGGGCTCTCCTTGGACAGTGTTCCCTGTATAGCACATTTTGATAGTGCCTCATGCCTCCACCAGCCCAGGGGTAATGGAGGGATCTGTTTTTTCCTCACCTATTAGGCTGGGCTGGCATGACTAGTGAGAGAGATTCACCTAGGTCACAGTGTCTCTTGCCTCCCTGTGCTTTGTGCGTGTGGTTAGCCTGTGGCTGCCCTAGTAGTCTCCAGTGTAGTACGTTAGGCTGACCTTCCTGGGGTGCATGTAGCCAGATGTGGCATGGACTCTGACCCACACTTTCCCTACAGCGCTGAAGATGTGGTGTCCCGTGTGCCAGGCAGCCAGCTCACATTGGGCTACATGGAGGAACATGGTTTCACTGAACCCATTCTTGTCCCCAAGAAAGATGGGCTGGGCCTGGCTGTCCCAGCCCCCACGTTCTATGTCAGTGACGTCGAGAACTATGTGGGTAAGTGCTGGCTCCTTTGCATCTTGTGGGGGCCTGGAGTTGGGAGGCCTTGACATTGTTAACTATCATGTGCACACATCCTTAGCACCCTAGCCATGTTCTGGGTACTATGTGAGCAGGTTAACTCCTGGCCTCTATTCTAGGAATTCTTAGATGATACTGGGTTCTCCCAAGTGGATCCTAGTAGGAACTCCTTGCCTCTCAGTTGTTTTAATCACAAACAGGACCTGCTCTGGTGATCCCTTGGTTTTCCCAGCTATGAATTCTGCTGTGGGATGTCACATGCCCTGCTATGTCCAGGATCCTTGAGCTCTACGAGGCTCCTTCCCCATCCTGGCTGCCAGCCAAGGGCCAGGCCTTCCTCACCCACACTGCAACCTGCCTACCACACTGCCCTTCTGGATTCTTCTGGGATTCTGCCGATGCCTTTTGTAGCTGCTATCACATGTCCACTTACAGCCATGGTTCTGTGACATGCCTAGTCAGGGCACTTGTGGGCAGAGAAAAGTACAGCATGATAGATGAGAGGCAGAAGCTTAGCTTTGTAATGACTCTGTGGGGCTGGCAGCTGCCAGGCTGGGCTCTGAGGTCCCTGTGGTTGCCGGGCTCAGGTATTGCTGGAGGTAACTTCGTGGCTGGCATTGGTAGGAGAGGATGTAGACTGGTGAACTGCATACAAGTTGCTCTGAGCTTGTCTGTCCACATCTGTGAAGCCCATAGTGGGTAGGTTCTGGGGTCCAGTGAGAACACCAGGCACCTGGTGGCTTCCACCTGGGAAGCCATTATATTTTTTTTCAGCCAAGGGGTAGAACAACATGGACTACGGGAGCTGTGAGGCCTCTGAGAAGAGGATGTTCACCCTGGGCTGGGGTTAAGGGGAATGGGAGGTCTGTGGAGAAGGTTCATTCTGTGGGACCCTTCTCAAAAGGGAGTGCAGATAAGTAGGGCTGGAGCTGTACCATACTGGGGCTAGCCTTTGGTCAGCAGTGCTTAGCTATGGGCAGACGGGAAAGCTGTTTCTGCTCTGCTCCACCACGTTGGTGAACCAGCTTCTACCCAGCTTTTCCATGAGGGTAGTAGAGTTTACCAGTTTACCAGTCTGGCTCTGCTCACCAGCGACTGCCTTTCTTCTACTACATCACATCTGCTCTACCAGCCTTGTTCAGGGTTGCTTCTGCCAGACATGAGCAACCACTGAGAAGTAATACTGTTTGGTATCAGACATTTCACTCCTGTGATGTAAGAGTGACTTTCATCCCGCTCATAATAGGAGATGGGAATCTACTCTGTCATTGTGGCCTGGGGCTGCCCTGGCTACTAGGGCCCTGGTCTTCCATAGTTATGCCGATAGGAACAGGGAAGATATGCTTCTCAAAGGTGTTTATTGCTTTTATGTTCTTCTTTTCATTTATTTAAATTATGGAACTTTTTAAATACATGAAATGAGAGCAATGAATAGTAAGCCAGGTGTACCTGCACTGGCCACAAACGATCAGCTGGTTTTCTGTCCTCCCTGTTTTTCTTTGGCGTGGAGTATTTTAAAGTGGATCACCTTTTCACTGGAAAAACTCAGTATGCAGCTCTCACAGCTAACTTTTAAAAAAATTATTGTGGCTGGAGATGTGGCTTAGTGGTAGTGTGCTTGTCTAGCATGCATGAAGCCCTGGCTTCCATTCCTCAGTACCACATACACAGAACTAGCCAGAAGTAGTGCTGTGGCTCAAATAGTAGAGTGCTAGCCTTGAGCAAAAGAAGATCAGGGATAGTGCCCAGGCCCTGAGTTCAAGCTCCAGGACTGGCAACAACATCAAAAAATATTGTAACGGTGATGTACAAAGGAGGTATAGTTAAATAGGTCAGGTAATGAATACATTTCTTTTTGAACATACCACTTCCCTCTTTTTCTCCCAGTATTTTTTTGTTTTTTTACCTTCCAGCCTCCTTCCCCCAGCAAGTTGTATAGTTCATTTTCAACATTCATATTGCTGGCTGCATTAGTTCACCCTTTGTCCGACCATTCCTGTGCTTCCCCTTCCCTTCCCCAAATCAGATAAAGTTATATACAAGACAAAAAGTACAGAAATTAAAAACAGCCACAAAAGGGGAAAACCAGAAAAACAAAATCTACAAAAAGTAAAAAACAAAAAACAAAAAACCTCTTGTTTCTGTTCTTGGAGTTCATTTCAGTAAGCATCATTTTATATGATCACATGTACATAGCTATTGAGCAGCTAATTTTTAAATGTTCATTCTATCATCATACTCTATAATTACTTAACTAATTTCTTGAATAGAGTCTGAGACCCAGTTTAATTCTGCCTCATATGACAGTTTCTTCAACACAGAACCTTTTTTACACTGGTCTTTCAAAATCAGAATTCAAACAAGACTACATATAACATTTGTTTTTTATGTCCTGAAGTCTCTTTCTCTCTGACAGGCTCCTCTCTGTGGCTCTAGTGGAGAAAAGAGCTATGAATTTCTCATATCAGGGTCATGCTATCAGTGTCCCTGTGGTGTGGCTTAGCTCAAGTTCCCATATCCCAGGTGTTTCCTGTAAGCACAAGTTCAGAGGCTCATAGAGGTTAGGCTCAGATTTGTGGCAAGTTGTTCTCCTGGGCACATGTGCCTTCACAGTGAGGACATTGTCAGTGCCTGGTACACATTTGGTGGCATCACCACCATCGTTGACATCTAGCTCCTCTGTCCACAGAAATCCCAGTGCTGAAAAACAAAGGAGGGGGTAACCGTGCTCAATAGGAAATGTACTCATTACCTTACACATGTAACTGTAACCCCTCTATATAGTATCTTTACAATAGTGTGTGTGTGTGTGTGTGTGTGTGTGTGTGTGTGTGTGTGTGTGTGTGTGTATGTGTGTGTGTGTGTGTGAAAAATCCCAGTGGCCGCCACCTTGTATCTGAGTAGCTTCTGGGGCCCTGGCAAAGGACAAGATCACTCATGCCCTCCCTTCACTGATGATGAGTCTTTTATAAAGACTTTCCCACTTCAGTTATCTGACTATCCTGAGTTTTTCCTCAAGACAAATGTTTTTCCCTCTCTCCTCAGTTGATGTTTTTAAAATGAGTTGATACTTATATTAGTTAGCTTTATGTCACTTAACAAAATATGAGGCAAATAACTGACAAAGGGAAAAGATTTAGTTTGTTTTTGAAGGTTCCAAGCCATGATCCCAATGCCTGTGGGACTTCAGCAAGGGTAGACTATGGCGGGAAGGTGTGGTGGAGCAAAATATTGCCATCATGAACCAGCAAGCAAAAAGAAAAAACCCAGGGCTGGGAAGATAGCTCAGTGGTAGAGCGCTTGCCTTGCAAGCATGAGGCCCTGGGTTCTATTCCTCAGCACCACATAACCAAAAAGAAAAAAAGCCGGAAGTGGCGCTGTGGCTCAAGTGGTAGAGCGCTAGCCTTGAGCTGAAGAACTGAGGGACAGCGCCCAGGCCCAGAGTTCAGGCCCCACGACCGGACCCAAAAAAAAAAAGAAAAGAAAAGAAAAAACCCAATAACCTCTTCAGGCCCTGCCCCCCCCAAGCCTTGCCTCCTAAAGGTTCCATTTCCCAGTAATGCCACTGACTAGTGACTAAGCCATTAGCACATGGGCCTTCGGAGGACACTAACCAAACCATAGTAATACACGTCATGTAGCATGTAGGGTCCTTGATATTTTAATTTTTGTATTATTCAGAATATGTTTACACTAAAATGTATTTGTTGTGTTTCTGAAACTCAGGTTTACTAGGAAACTGTAGGTTTAATTTCTGACCTGGCTCCCTTCTCTGAGGCCTGAGATTCACCACCTCACAGCCTCACTGTGTCCTTGTGATAACTGCAGAAAGAAGAAAGCACTGGGCACTGTGTTGACCCTGGGGGATGGCAGGTGAGGGAGCCTTGATAATCAGTCTCCAGGTCCAAACCCATTCTGTCTACTCTCGGCTGCTGCCATGTCTGAGGGAAGTTGACAGTGTGAGGGTTCGCTCACATGTCTGTCTTCAGGAAGACTATACCACCTCTTAGGCATATTCACCATTTCCCTGAATCCCCAGGGCCCGAGCGGAGTGTGGACGTGACGGACGTCACCAAGCAGAAGGACTGCAAGATGAAGCTGAAGGAGTTCGTGGACTATTATTATAGCACCAATCGCAAGCGTGTCCTCAATGTCACCAATCTGGAGTTCTCCGATACCAGGTGATGGGGCTATCCTAGATGCAGGGCCCAAGGGGCCAGCTTGGGCTGACTTCCTTCCCTGGACTGGCAGCTTCCATCCAGGTCAGACATGACAGGACTGTGAAGTGCTTGCACATAGAACATGCTGGTTTTTTGTTTGTTTTTTCTTAAAGTACAGCAGTAACACACAGAACAGTTCAGACAAATGGAGCAGAAAGGAAGTCAGCCTGACCGGGCCCCCATTCCTAGAGAGAACTATGGTGAAGTGTGTGCAGTCCCTTCCAGAATATCACACCTATGACACACACTCTACTGCTATGTACCCATGGACACACATGCATATGAGAAAAACATTAGTACATTCCTGATTTACTGATAGATGCATACTCCTAGGCATACTGATGTACTCAGAGCACACCGACAGGACACATGGACCACACAGGTGCTCATCCATGCAGTTTCCAACCAATGGACCCACTGGCACACTCATGTACACACATGCCATTTGCATACCCTCCTTCATTGTCCCCCTCATACAAACCTCTCACATTCCCATCCTTCTCATGCATGCCTCTTACATGCCCATTGCACACACAGGCCCCTTGTATGTACACATCCTCTGCATACATATGCCTTTCACACATGCATGCTCCATGTCCACACATGCTCTGTAACCTCTGTCCTGCCTCCCATCAGGCCTTACTGCCCTCCAACTGGTCCTTCAGGAAAGATCTGGAACATTTCCTAACATGAGGCATGAGTGGCAAGGAATGCTTTTGGTTTTGTTTACTTCTACTTTGCCCTCTTCCAGAAAGCCTAAGAGAATACATGTGCAAAGTAGGTGTGGGAAAAACATCAGTTTATGCCAAGAGCCACAGAAGGGGAATGTCACTGAGAACACTTGTTTTCTAGCGGCAGAGGCAAAAATGGGTAGAATATGGTAATGGAGAATGTAGCCTTACATGTGTTGATAAAAAGGATTTTCTCCACAGTTGCATTCTGAGTTGTGAATTACTTTGGTACTGGAGAACAGAGTCATGTCTCCATCAGCTGTCCTGCTACCCGGCTCCTTCCAGAGAGAGGCCAGGTGATGGAGCTAGGGAAAGAGATGCTTTGCCTTCCTGTGTCTCCTGCTTTGTCCAAGGACTCCTTGGGAGAGAGGGATCATTTGTGGCTTTTGTTGGGCATTTGCATACCAGAGCATTCTTGTGAACTAGGCCCTTGCCCTGGCACAGGCTCTGAAAATTCCTGCACTGACCAAGAGGGAGGAAGTGTAGCCTGTGCCTCATTGGAAAGTTGTCCTGAGATACAAAGATCAGGCCCAACCTCATTGGCTGTCACAGTTGTTCCCAGGATATACTGCCTGCAGTAGCCTGCAATAACCCCTAGAGGTGCCCACAGTGAAGTGAGTTGGGGGGTGATGTGCCAACTGCCTGCTGTTCAAGCACTCCTATCACACAGGTGGCAGGACCAGGCTTGCAGTCTGCAGCAGTGTTTTGTTTTGGGACCGTTGAGATGAAAGCTCCCTTCCACTGGTAAAGACACAGATGAAATAAAGATTTTATTTTTTACAGGTCCTGTGGGTACATGACATTCCTGGAGGGCACACACAGAGGCTGGCAAGCCCACTCAGGGAGAAACTGAGGGATCTCTGAGCCAGAGTCTATGGGGTCCAGGATGTTATCCAATTAGGTTGCACTCAGAAAATTTTAATTGGTGTGTTATAGCAGGCAAGCATCAGCTTCCAAGGGTCACACTACGGTACCATACCGTGTACCTACAGTCCCTGCAGGGAGTGTGAATCAGCTGGGCTGGTTAGGTTATATGTGACAGTCCTGCAGGGAGGTGGCTCCCAAGGAAGATGTGTGGATCAGCCACACTGAGGCAGTGGAAGAGGTGGGATTGGAGAATGGACCTAGGCTGCCCCACTCCCACAAGGGTTCCGCTCTCATAGCATGAGAGAAACCAGCTTATATGTAAATTGTCAGGACAGCAGCAGATTACAAAGATTCACACAGTCGTGTGTGTGTGTGTGTGTGTGTGTGTGTGTGTGTGTGTGTGTGTGTGTGTGACCTTCAGATAGAGAAGGAGGTGTGAGAGCAATAGAGAGAATTTCAGATAGGGCCATGGAGACCTGAAGGATCTTGCCTCACTTGAGGCAGCAAGGACTCCAAGATCTGGTCTGTGGGAGCTGAAATGTTACAACTCAGAGACTTCTGATCTTGGTGTTTTTGACACATACAGCATGGTACAATTTATCCAGGACAGTGACATTTCACTGAATCATGGGCAGCCTTCACCTTTTGTCATCATCCTTGGATGTGACTCAGCTGATTGACAGGGTCCAGACATGGCTGGGAATCATGGGATGCCTGTTTTCTGCTCTGGCCAGCAGTGGCTTTTGTTCAGGTGATCCTCAGGAGGCACCACACTGCATGTGAGAAGTATTTACTGTCAGGGCCCTGTTGTGCCACAGTACCGTGAAATCTGCATCAGTCAGCTGACTACTTTCCGGTTTCCAGAAAGGGAGTCCTCTCTCTGGGATGCCAATTGTCAGACTGTTTCCTTATCTGTGACTGGCATTTCTGGTCTGCATGGCCCTATCCAACAGCTGGGCTTATTCAGCCCTGTGAGAGCCTCTGCTTCTCAGTAAAATGGTAGCGATGCTCCCTGTAGTGAAATAGTGATATGACACACCTCATAATCCCTTATCCACCTCAGGGGTATAAAAAAATGGAAGCAATGAGTCCCATCACCATTGATCAGTCCTCCTCCCCTGCCCCAGAATGTCCAGCTTTGTGGAGCCACCTGACATTGTGAAGAAGCTGTCCTGGGTAGAAAACTACTGGCCTGATGACGCACTGCTGGCCAAGCCCAAAGTGACCAAGTACTGCCTGATCTGTGTGAAGGACAGCTATACTGACTTCCATATTGACTCCGGGGGTGCCTCCGCATGGTACCATGTGCTCAAGGTGAGCCTCACCCCTCAGGGCATGCCTTGCCTTTGACACACCTGTGGCCTATTTGCAGACAGTCTATAATCCCTCAAAGCTCTGTCAGTGGCCAGTAAGTTTCTCACACGACACTGGGATGTCTGGCCTTGAAATATAAAGCCATGGACATGTGTTTGGGTGGAGGGGCGGGGTTATAATTGGGACCAGTGACAAATATATGCCTCCTTTTTCTAATGGGGACTGAGGCTCATTAACCATCAAATAAGGCCAGTGGATGACTCAGAAAAGAAAGCGATGTGAGGAAGACTTCTTGGAAGGCTTATCCAGAGCCAGGCCCCACAGAAGCTAGCCAGGCAGGTAGTGGGCTTCTGACCTTGTATGGAGGGCTAGTGGGCTCCTCACTGGGGCAACAAGAGGAAGGCCAGAAGCAAAATGAAGGACAAGTGACAGAAACCCTAAGCTTTGGCCTTCACTAGCCACAAACTCGGTTTCTCCAGACCAGCGGGGGCTCAAGATGTAGTGGTGGGCTCAAGCCAATCCTGGCTTGAAGTGCAAGCAGCTTTGGCATCATCTCAGCCTATGTGCTCCAGTGCCTAAGGATGGGACTCTCACTGCTCTGGGTACAGGGCTTGACCTGGGAGCCCAGCAGCTCTCAAGAGTGGAGCTGCCAAAGACAGCTGGTTACAGTTTTATTTACTCACATGCCATGTGTAGTGCCACAGAATAATAGCAGGTGGTTATGGAATGCTGCCCCTGACCACGCTGGGGCTCACATACCTAGTACCTTCCTAACAGTTAGATTTTTTCTGAATTGCAAGGCAACATTGTAGGTAGGCATGGTGGGCCTGGGATGGATATCTGCAAATCACGGTCCATTACCAGCCCCAGACAGGATGGGCTTTGCTCCCACACACCCCAGTCTCCCCAGCTCTGCCCCTACATCCCCAATATTGTGGTTTTTGTCAATGGACTCTCTTGGCAGGGGGAGAAGATCTTCTATCTCATCCGGCCAGCCTCCGCCAACATCTCCCTGTATGAGCGTTGGCGGTCATCCTCGAACCACAGTGAAATGTTCTTTGCCGACCAGGTCGACAAGTGCTACAAGTGCACCGTGAAGCAGGGTCAGACCCTCTTCATTCCCTCAGGTGAGCAGGGTTCTGGAGATGAGGTGCTTGAGCGCACTGACCTTCGTCATGGTCATTGCACTGACCCCCATGCAGCATCTCCTATCACTGGGATGTTCTGGTGTTCACCTGGCTGGCTGACTGCCTGTCCCAGCCCAGTCCCTGAAAAAAACAGCATTGGCTCCATGGTAGCAGGAAGCTCGAGTGCTAGCCTTCTTCTTGTGCCAGGGCCATCTTGAGGCTATGTAGCAGGCCAGCCTCTACAGTCTCAGGGCCTGGCTCTCTGTGACCCAGCCTCTCGCATGGGAAAGACCAGCTTAGATAACCCAAGGTGAGGGGAGCAGCCATGACATCAAAGACAAGGAAGCCAGCCCAGAATGGTAATGTCTGCTGATGGATGGAGCGTCTCCTGAGAAGCTGAAGACCCTAGCTTCTTCTGGGAGAGTAAATCTCAGACCTGTCTGAGACCTCCTATTGCCGCAGCCCATAAGGAATCTGCTATCGGAAATACTTCCTTTGTTTAAAAGTAGATAATTACATCCTGTGAAGGATTTAATGGCAAGCCCTCAGTATCATCCAATATCCAATTGATGTGCAGATTTCCTAATGGTTATTTAGGTACTTTTTTTCCATTTTAAGTCAAGATCCAAATGAAGTCCTCAGAGTTCAATTGATTTCTGAGCCTCTAATCTATAGGGGTTCTTCCTTCCTTTTCTGGCTTCTCAGTAGTCAAGTTATTTGGGGAGAATAACTCAGGGGGCAAATCCTAGCTCTCAGAGAGAGTGACAGTGCAGCTCTATCTCTTGTTGCCCCAGCATATTTAAGTCTGTGGCTTAGGTTTACTGTCCTTGGTTGCTGTGCTGCCCCAGAGTAGATTGGACATATTCCCTTGGCTCTTGGACCTCACCTTTCTTGTTTGCCTTGTGCAGAACTGGATTGGACAGTTTGTGCCATTTTGGCATGGTCTCTCCACCAACTCCTTCAGAGGGTGTAAGGATCTTGAGCCAGATAGCAACTTGTTGCTAAGCAGTAAGAGCTGATGGCGGAGTGAGGCAGCTCTGACGGGAGCTGGAGTGTGTAGTCAGGGGGAGCCTCCCGAATGTGGAGGCAAAGGTGGAGGTTACCCTTGCCCTTCTCTGTTTCTCCCAGGCTGGATTTACGCTACGCTCACGCCTGTAGACTGTCTGGCCTTCGCGGGACACTTCCTCCATAGCCTGAGTGTGGAGATGCAGATGAGGTAGTGTCCACAGTGCCGTGTTGGCCTCTGGCCTCTGCCTGGCAGGTCTCCCTCTGACAGGTTTGCTGTGATGAGCACTGTGGCCTGATTTCTGGATAGGCCTGACCTAAGCGGGGAGGTTGGCCTCTGAGGGGCTGGGGTTGGATAGCCTAGTGGCGTGAGGTCATTGAAGGCATCCTCTGGGTGGCCTGTGGCTCCTTAGTAGCCACAGAGCAATGTCTCCACCCTGTTGGCCCTTCTGATGTGCTCCTGTAATCCACCTCAGACATTTAGGGCCCTGTGGGGCTGATGGGGCTGGGTGTAGAGTTACCCTTTAACAGGGCTGGCTTGATGCTCTATTCACTGAATGGTTTTTTGCTATGGCTTCCAGGGCATATGAAGTAGAAAGAAGGTTGAAGCTGGGCAGCTTGACTCAGTTTCCCAACTTTGAAACTGCCTGCTGGTACATGGGGAAGCACCTACTGGAAGCATTCAAAGGTACCTGTCATTCTGGATTGGACATCTTAATCTGTATCCTTCATCTGGGGAACAGCCAAACTTGGGGCCAGGCTTGCTGTCTTGGTCTGGATGTTGTCTTCATGTGGCCTGATCACAACCCTTCAAGGATACAGCCTGTGGGAATAAGAAGGCACCTGGAGGTGCTTGGCAGAGAACTAAGGGGATGGCCTGTGGCATCTCCAGGCGCAGTTACAACCCCTGATGAAAGCAAGGCTTGGGTGTGAGACGGAGAGGGCAGAGCCAGACCTCCTGTTCAGGTTGGGAGGGCTGACCCTTCCCCTTGCTAAGTGAGTGAGTACCCCAGGTTCTAAGAAGAAACCGTTGGCAGTTGGGCAGGTAGGTGTGGGCAGAGGCCTCTGGGAAGAAGAGCCATGTGCATCCAGGGCTTCATGCTGGGCCTTGTGCCCACCCGTATTAACCACTGTCTCCTCCTTAGGTTCTCATAAATCTGGGAAGCAGTTGCCCTCTCATTTAGTCCAAGGAGCTAAAATTCTCAATGGTGCTTTCAGGTCATGGACGAAGAAGCAGGTAGGAAGCCAACCACTTGTGTTCTCAGATTAGAGGCGTGGAGGATGGGATGGAGAATAGACAGAGGTCCTACTCAGCAAGTAACAAATGGTTATCTGCCCTGGTTAGCCCAAGCCGATCCAGCCACACAGACAGCTGTCAGCTTTCCATTGCTGACACTGAGTAGGCTCCTGAGGGGCAGGGTGGATGGATGCAGGTTGAAGAGACCCCATACCTGGGGCTCTGGTGGGGACAGTATTTTGAAATTGGAGGGACAGATTGGGGACCAGTGAACATGCATCAGGATCTGGACAAGAAATTCTTGGGGTGCTCTTGGCCCTTCCCACTAAGAAGCCACACATCTGGTATGGGTACAGCCCCCAGGCAACTGGCTTTTCTCCTGACCCCTTGGCATTGGCTCCTTTGGGGATGTGGAAGCTGTTTCTCCACAGGTATAAAGAAGCCAGCTTTCAGTTTCTTGTCTTGCCAGGGTTGTGGCTGTAGGGAGGGGTAGGTCTGTCTCTTCCAGGCACTCTTAGGATATTGTCTCCTACTGGGGTTTTCCTTGTTCAGAGCCACCTGACTACCCTCAGCCTCCAGAAGGAGGGCTTCCTTGAGGTTAGGGAGAGTCTATAGGGATGTTCATGAGGGGAGGCCAGGTGGGATCTCCATGTGCAGCCTACCTTGATCATGGATGGGCTTGGAGGGTGGCTAGTGGGGGTCATCCTTCTGCCTTGGGCCTCCAGGCTGGGACAGTCAAGGGGTCCTTCCTACTGTATCTTAGCCACATGACCAGGAAGAAGGGGTAGGTTCACATCCCTACATCCTGATAGTAGGCTCAGAGGAAGCCCTGGGACCTGGGACCTGGGGTAGCTACCTTTGAAGTAGGTCTCACAGAGAGGCTCTTGTCAGGCAGCATGCTCAGACTCTATGCAGTCAGGCTCCATGGTAGCCTATTGCTCTGTACCCATTGGGATAGCCATAATCCCACTGGCTGGGTGAGTAGGGAATGAGCTGGAGAGACGTGGAGGTCTGAAAAATTGCAGAGGTTGGAGCTGGTGTTGACCCTGCTGTCCTACAGGCTTTGGCAGAGCATGAAGATGAACTCCCCGAACACTTCAGGCCCTCGCAGCTCATCAAGGACCTGGCTAAAGAGATCAGGCTCAGTGAGGTAGGCCAAAATCCCTGGAAATGAGCATTCATGGCCTGGCCTCCCCTGCAGAGGGAAGCAGATGTATTCTCTAGGCCTGGGAGCTAACCTGATCCAGAGCTGCCTAGCCAGGGCAGCTCACTTCAGGTCTCTGGAGCTGATTCCTGGTGGGAGTGCCTAGGGAGGGAAAGATGGATGGGAGCCTTCACAGCTCCCACGAGGCAGGGGAACCTTGGAGGGGACTCCTGAATCTAGCCCCAAGTTCCGACTTAGAGGATCCTGGCAGCCTCTGGTGCTTTGGGAGGGCAGAAGAGTCCAAAAATGAGGAGGGCCAGAGGGCTGGTGGTCTGAGGCCACACAAGTGCTGTAGGATGGTGTGGAGCAGTATGAGCCTCTCACATGATGGCACAGGGTGGTGTGAGCTTGTCCTGATCATGTGTGCAGGGTCTGCCTCTCTGGGTTGAATGCCTCCCCTAGTATAGCTGTGAAGATCTCCTGAGTCCTGACATGAGGTCTTTCCTGTCTGTTCTCTGGAAGAAGCACACATGACCCTTTCCATTCCCCACCCCAGAGTGCCTCCAAAGTTGTCCGACCAGAAGTGAACACGGTTGTCTCCTCCGATGAGGTCTGTGATGGGGACCAGGAAAAGGAGGAACCTCCATCTCCCATTGAGGCCACCCCACCTCGATCCCTCTTGGAGAAAGTGTCCAAAAAAAAGACTCCCAAGACTATGAAGATGCCTAAGCCATCTAAAATGCCCAAGCCTCCGAAGCCCCCCAAACCTCCAAAGCCCCCCAAATCTCTGAAGCTTAAGGATGGAAGCAAGAAGAAAGGGAAGAAGTGTCGGGAGTCAGCCTCACCCACCATCCCCAACTTGGACCTGCTTGAGGCCCACACCAAGGAGGCCCTGACCAAGATGGAGCCACCCAAGAAGGGCAAGGTGGGGTCACTGCTCCTTCACTCCCTAGAGGGCCAGGCCAGGAAACAGCTGGTGTTCTGTATCTTTGCCCCCCCCCCAAGGGCTTTTAGCTGAGTGGGAAGGGGAACCCATCTATAGGGGGAGGACCCTGGAGGGTGCGGAGGTCTGGAGCCTTGCTGTGGGAGAAGTCTGCCCAGTGAATGTGCTCCTGACCGAGGTCTGCAGGTCAAACCCCAGATGGGAAGGCTGTGCCCTAGTGAGCTTGCAGCAGGAGGCCCTCCCAAAGAGAGGCAGCACAGAGTTTGTGCTATAGCAGGGGCAGCAGCCAGCAGGGCTTCCTTGATGCACAGTGGTCTTTTAGGAAGGTGTGGCCCCAGGTAGTCTTTCCACTGGGTTAGAAATTACCAGGGAACTAAGAAACTTTCTAGGGCTGGCACCCAAAGACATATAAGGACTATATGCAGAAATAGCAAAGAGAACAGGTGTGAGGAAGAGGGGTTGGGAGCAGGGCAAAGAGTGCCCTGTTTGTGGCCTGAAACCCTCTGGATAGTCACAGAAATGGCTCAACCCTGGGACTCACTAGGTCTTAGGAACCTGAGCCTCTAAGACCAAGCACCATTAAGTATAAATGCCTTCTTGGGAGAAGCTTAGCTCTCTCCACTTCTTGGAGTCCATCCTTGAAGGCTTGCAGTGGGATGGATTAGTGTGTTGTTTCTTTATGAGGGCTCAGGCCCAGGTATCTGGAGCTGAGAATGAATGAATCGCTAGATGAATGAACAGATGGAAAAAATGGGTGGACAAATGAATGTGTGAGTGAACAGTTACATGGATGAATGATGATAGCTGATTGGATGAACAGATAGATGAATGAGTAGATCAGTGGGTGGGTAAGACAGGTTGAACAAATGAATGGATGAATGGGTTGATGGATAAATGAACAGATGAGCACATATGGGCACATGAGTGGAGGACTGGGTAGATGAATGGGAACACTGCATGTGGGGATAGCCGGAGTGGCGAGGCTTTCGTGCTGTGAACCAAGGGAGTCCCACTTGGCTGCTCTGTTTTCTAGACCCCAAAGAGTGTCCTGAGTGTTCCCAACAAGGATGTAGTTCATACACAGAATGATGTGGAGAGGCTAGAAATCCGAGAGCAAACAAAGAGCAAATCAGAGGCCAAGTGGAAGTACAAGGTGAGAAGTGTGTGCGTGTGTGTGCGCGCGCGTGTGTGTGTGTGTGTGTGCATGCATGCATGCTCAGTGAGTATAAGAGATGTGAACCTGGCATGGTATGTATAGGCATGTGTCTGCCTGGCCTCAGCAGGTGTTGACCATAAGGCATGTCTTTGTGAGTCTCTAGTGTGTAAGGCCTTCTACAGGTCACTCCTGGGATGCAGTACAGGTGCAAGGGCCAAGTCTGTCAACTTCTGTGGGTGGCATCCTCACTGTCTTCACCATCTCCTCCTGGGGGAAGGCAACCCTCAGAGCTATGCGTGACTTTCCCTGGCCTGTTCCTGGCCACTGTCCCTACACACTCTCCTGGGTGGGCTCAGGAACAGCCTTGGTTTTGCTTTCAGAACAGCAAACCCGACTCCTTACTGAAGATGGAGGAAGAGCAGAAATTGGAGAAGTCACCCCTGGCTGGAAACAAGGACAAGTTCTCCTTTTCTTTTTCTAACAAGAAACTCCTGGGGTATGTGAGGGCTTGATTGGGAGGGGTGACCATGCAGATACCCCACACAAGCCTCCCACATTGCATGTGCCCCACACCTCACACGCACAAATCCTGTGTGTTCATCCTGCACTACACAAATGACACACACATATACAGAGCAGCTCACACTCACCCTCATACATACCACACACCACGTACATACCACAGACAATGCCACACACATACCCCAAGCACATACCATGTATGCAACCCGTATCATAACATACATGCCACATACGCACACTCACACACCGCACATAATACACATACCACGCTGCATACACAGTCCCTTGTGGAATCCTCCCCATCCCAGTTACTGAGTTCACTCAATGCAGCTCTGTTTACCACATACCCTTATCTGCGTCCATGACCCAAGAGAGCTGTGTCTCTGGTTCTAGTGTGTTCTGATGGCAGGTGGGCTGGGAGTCTGGGGCCTGCAGCAAGAAACAGCCAGGCATGGAGGGAGCCCATTAGTAGAGCAGCTTTTGTGAACTCATGCTGAGGACATGGTGGGGGTCAGGGGCCTGGCTCTCAGTCCAGTGGCATGTGGGTAGGGCAACGTGAACCCAGCAGTCTAGTAAGTCCACCTAAGTTTGTGGCTATGGTGCGTGCCAGGGGGAACAGATTCATTTATCCTTGGTTGATGGCACCCAAAAGCCAGAAAGTCAGGAAGGCTTCTTTGACGAGGTGGTGCTGAGCTAAGAGATGGAAGGTCAAACCTGGGAGCCAAGCCATAAGAGTTTCATGGTTTCAGCTGCAGAGGGCCAGGTCTGCCTGGGCTCAACAACGCACAACCATATCCCACTGAGATGTCTCCCATCTGTCTCTCTTACTGAGTCAGACAGGTCCTCATGGAGGGCATCCGCTTCTCCGGCTTGGCCTGATTTATTTCCTGTTCTGAGAGATGGAAGTAGGCCCCCTTCTGAGTGGTGCTAGGCTGAGCCGTGAAGAGGAGAGGCAGTGTTACCATAGTCACTCAGCAGGGGCAGAGTCTACATGGGTCTGGACTTGCTATCAGGACTGGTTGGCCCTGCGCATATCAAGGAATGGTCTTTGCTTTGTTAGAAGCATCAATTCTGAGTCCTGGGGATGCTTTATGATGGTACCACAGAGTTTAGAAAATGGAGCATATGTATGCACACATGTGCTTGGTTCTATGGCCCGGTCTTTTTTTGTTGGTTGTGGGGCTTGAACTCTGGGCCTGAGTGCTGTCCCTTAGCTCTTCAGCCGAAGGCAAGCGCTCTACCACTGAGCCACTTTCCCAGTATGGCCCAGTCTTAATGTGGCAGGTCTAGCTGCTGCCTTTACTGAGGGCACTGGAGACAATGTGATCCCATGTGCTGTCCACATTTCTAGAGCCTATGTTTGTTGGAAGTTCCAGGCATCTTGCCTGGGTCTGCTGTCCCTCCTGAACTGACCGAAACCTGACCTAAGCCTAGAGTTCTCCTTACTCAGAGCAGTCTTGCCTCACTCCAGGGAGACAGGTTATATTATTTAGACTAGTATTTGTCCACCCAGATCCTGAATTTATTTTCTTCCTAAGTATAGCTATGCAGAAAAAGGTAAGAAGAATGGATTCTGTTCCCATCTGGGTCTGAGATTTCAGCACCTGGCAGGATTCCCCAGCATGCTTGTCATGGGGATACAGGCTCAAGAACTTAAACTGCTCAGGGAGGGGCTATCTGTGTCTTATAAATTACATATCAGGGCCATATATCAAAGGACATGGTGCGGTTGAGAAGTGTCCCCACATACTCAGCCTGGCCTCCTGACATCTGTTGCTTGGCCTCTAAGAGGATGCTCAGGTCCAGATCTCCTGGGAGTCCTACCACCTGTTTGCTCTTGTCAAGGCCCCGGGGATGCCACTGACCCACTCCTTCTGCTGCCCTAGCTCCAAGGCTCTCAGGCCCCCAACAAGCCCTGGTGTGTTCGGGGCCTTGCAGAACTTCAAGGAGGACAAGGCCAAGCCAGTGAGGGATGAATACGAGTATGTGTCAGATGATGGGGAGCTCAAGATCGATGAGTTTCCCATCAGGAGGAAGAAGAACACTCCGAAGAGGGATTTGTCCTGTGAGTATAGGGGAGGGAGGACGTACGCACGGAACTTGGGGAGACCTGTTCTGGCCCTGCTTGAGGTCAGTGCATGGCTGGTTCCACCTGAGGCCCCCAGTGGACTCCTGTGCTTTGCTTTCAGTCTTGTTGGACAAGAAGGAGGTGCTTCCCACACCTGTCATGAAGCCAAAGCTGGACTCCGTGGTGTACAAGGTGAGCTGCCTTCTGGGCCCGCTCTGTTGGTCCCTGTGGACTGTAGTCTGGGTAGCTCATGGCCTGGCCCTTTGATGGAGAAGTCTCTGTGTTTTGGCTCAAGGTAGAGAGGGCATCCAGCTTCTCCAAAGTCTCTTGGTGGTCTTGTCAGCAGGCCATGGGCTGGGCTAGGATGTGGGCTAGGAGTGATGAGTGCTCACCTGAGTCTTTGGTCCCAGGCCTGACTTGCCTCCCCTCCCACGAGCTGGACTCACCTTGCAGGGAGATAAACGCTACAAGACTTGTCCACAAGTTGGAGTCTGGGGGCCAGGGAGCCCGTTGGGGGTAGGAAGTGTCACACTAAGATGATGTCCACCGCCTTGCTAGCGCCCCACACTTTCTGAGGGACCAGGAAGGACAGGTCCCGAGCTATCTGAGGCCCTCCCTGCTCTCCTTATCCATGCACAGCTTCTGCATGTCTGGTGAAACACTGGCACTCATTTGCAGAGCCAGACTTCCTCCATAAAAGCAGTGTTGCTGCAAAGACAGCTTGTTCCGTTGTGGTCTGGGGTCCTGGGAAAGCTCTGGCAGCCACACCTGCCCCGAGTTTGGCTGGCTGGCTCTTACCTCTCCTGCCTCCCAGCCTGCCTTGACCAGCAGCTCTGTCCCTGCACAGCAGAGCGATGACTCTTCGGATGAGGGCTCTCTGCACATCGACACAGACACCAAGCCCGGCCGCAATGCCAAAGTCAAGAAGGAAAGCGGGAGCTCCGCAGCCGGCATTTTGGACCTGCTGCAGGCCAGCGAGGAGGTGGGGGCGCTTGAGTACAATCCCAACAGGTGGGTCCTGGCCGTGCCTAGCAGCATGCACAGACTTCTAGCCCACAGTCCAGAAAACTAGATTTGCATTCCAGGACCAGAGCTCATCTCTTTCTCCGGTCCCAGTTAAATCCTCCCTAAAGCACGAGTTTTCGCTTGAGGTGTCAAGCACTTGACCATTGCTTTTTCTCATGGGATCATTGCTTTTTCTCATGGAAATGTTTGCAGGATTTTTATATGAGTATTACCCCCCACCCAAGGTCCTCCGGGGGTCTCGCACATGGGCACCTGTGCACTGTGGGAAGGCTGGTTTCCTCAGCTGAAGGTTCCTACTGCAGGGGAAACAGAGCCTCAGAGAGCTTAGACACCTTTGCTGTCGTCCCACACACAGCTGAAGGGGCAGAAATAGCTCCCGACTGTCCTCCTGCCTGAGTCAGGACCCAGGCTTGGTGGTGTCAGGTGCCAGGCTCTGTCCTGAGGGAGGCAGGGCCCGTGGGACCTGGTGGGCGCAGATCTACCACTGAGCCCCTGGTTTCACAGCTTCCTAACTAGGACCATGCTGCATGCAGCATTCCATAGAGACAGATTAAGGGCTTGATTGAAAAGAGCCTTTGCTAAATCGGCTGGTTGTATTTTGTTTCATAAATGACTTTCATGAAATGCTGTGTTCACAGCCAGCCAGCCAGCCAGAGGTGCTTTCTTTGCATAAGAGTGAAACAGGACTTGGTGTACAGATTCCTTGCTCAGCATGAATAGTTCCTGTTCCATCCTCCCTTCGGAGAAGCACTTGTAGCTGAGGGGTGGAACCTGGCTTGGCCCCTACCCCACTCGAGGCTGCAACCCCGTGTACCACACACAGCCCACGGAGAAGCTTTACCCGGGGAGGACAGATGCACCAGTTGATATTCCAGGACTAACCTCTGGCTCTTGAGAGCCTTCCCACATACCTGCCTCCCCGCCGTGGGAGGCCAAGCGCTGGGATGGCACAGAGGCCGCCCTACGTGAAGACAGACAGGCTGGGAGCCTTGGCTGGGCCCCTAGGTGCCTTGTGTAAGAGCTACTGAGGGGAGACAAATGGGGGGAGGGGGGGAGCATGCCTACATCTGTGAGGAAGCTCTGTGTCTAGGAGAGTAGACTAGGCTGCTAATGAGAAACCCCATCTTCTGTATCCCGTCTCTGGGGAGCACACCCTGCAGATGCTGTGTGTACCCTTGTACACACGTACTCACGCCCGCTGGGGCCTGGACGTTGGCTGCCCCCCTCAGCCCAGCCCGCCGCAGGCAGTTCCTTTCCCAAAGTTACCCATTTGGAGTGTAGGTCAGTTTTTGATGGTCCATTTGCTCTGTTTTAAGTACAGACTGTTGCGGGGAGGGGGAAGCAGCTAAAGAAAATGGAGGAAAATATGTTAATTTCTTGTGGATGATGTGCTTAGTGTTTACCTCTGGGGGAGAAAGAAGAGGATTTTGGTATGATAATTGGAGGATTAAAGTATTATTTTCCATGCTGACTGGTTAAACTCTGCTCATTGATTTACCAGTGACCACGTGGACAGATGGGCCATTGGGCATGCGGTCAAGTCCCCTCCCTGGGGCTGCCCAGATGGCATAGGTGGTCGGCTCACATATGCATAAGGCCTCAACATGGGCCCTGCTGCCTGTGTTTGGGATCCTCCTGGTGGGTGTCCTGGCACCCCAGAGCCTGGGTTGGGGTCAGGAGAGGGCCCAGTGCAGTGTGCTGTGGTGCTTTGTTGTTTGTGCTTTTCCTGCTCAGAGAGGATGGTGCAATTGTGTGCAGGGCAGCTGGCCGGCAGCACTATGGCTTAGGCAGCATGGACAGTGTAGGACAGGGCTCTGTGAGGGCAGCTCCCAGCAGCACCTTCCCAGAAGCTCGGGGCTACTGACCATTAGTTTCGTAGTGCTGTGCCTCTGGCCTAGGAGGCAGCTTTTGTGAGGGCCGCAGAGACCACTGGCCCTCCTCTCTTCTCCAGGCTCAGGAAGGGGCATTGTGAATCTGGAACCTTCAGCTAGCAGTGGGCCTGGCCACAGCACCATCCCTTAAAGACAGTTCTCTGTGCTCACTGGAGGCAGCCCCTTGTCCCTGCCCACCTCCATCAGGGCCTCAGTGTCTGGAGCCTTCTGGATTCTGAGCCGTGGCTTTTCCAGGTCCCTTGAGGGACCATTGCCCAGTCATGGCTAGGTCTGCATGGCCTGCTGATACTGCCTCAGCCATTCTGTTTCTTCCTTCTTCCTTCTCCTTTCCTGCTCTTCCTCCTCCTCCTCCTCCCCACTCCTACCGGTTTTGCTGTGTAGTCCAGCACTTCTGATCAAGTGCTGGGATTGCAGGCATGTACCACCATGCCCTTCTCACCTCCTCCTTTTTGTCACACATTGCCCTGTCCAGTGACAGGTGTGTTTGTATATGAGTGCTCCTTTCCCACAGATATACAGATGCCCACACAGTTCTTCACAGTGCCATGTGCACTCATGGCCACTCACAGTAAGCCACCCCTAGTCCCAGGCTTGCCCGCTTTCATCTCCCAACATGCCCTCTTTTCCCAGCAGTTGAGATGGTGCCCTGTGTCACTGACCTTGCGAAAAGTGTTGCAGGTAGTTGGATGTGATGGGGCGGGGGGGGGGGGGGGGGGCGGGAAGATGAGGGTTGGAAGGAGTGTAATGCTGATACAGGCATCTCAGGAGGAATGGTTGGGCCCAGAGGGCAAAGGGAGGATACAGTGGAGATGCTGTGTGCCTGTAACCTGGGTCTAGGACTACCCAGGGGCAGTGCCAGGTGTAGCTAGTCCTAGCAGTGCCCTTGGCTAGAGCTAAAGTTAGGGCTAACACAGTGGCCAAAAGGGACAGAGTAGGCAGGAGTTCAGGAGAGAGGCAGCTGAGTCTGCTAACCATGGTAAAGGTGAAAGGCTAATGCATGATCTCTCAAGAGCCATTCTCTTATCTCCTGTTTGTGACCCATCTCTGTCACAAGGCCTCCTGCCCTCCAAGAAGGTGTGTGTGTGTGTGTGAGACCAGAGGGGATGCCTCACCTTTTCCATAGGGAAGTCATCAGCCCAAGCCACTTGGTGGCCTCTTCAGGTTGTGTCCAAGTCTTTTGGGCTAAGGGGCTATAGTTTGTGTATCCGGCCTTAGTCGAGGGTCATAACTGAATGCCTGTCTCTTTGTATCCCCAGCCAGCCACCTGCCTCCCCCAGCACGCAGGAAGCCATTCAGGGAATGCTGTCCATGGCCAACCTGCAGGCCTCTGACTCCTGCCTGCAGACCACGTGGGCTGCTGGCCAGGCCAAGGGTGCTTCACTGGCAGCCCATGGTGCCCGGAAGAATGGGGGTGGCAGCAAGAGTGCGGGCAAGCGGCTCCTAAAGAGGGCCGCCAAGAACAGTGTGGACCTGGACGACTATGAGGAGGAGCAGGACCACCTGGATGCCTGCTTCAAGGATTCTGACTATGGTGAGCATTGGGGGCAGGGAGGCCCAGTGCAAAGATGGGGCCCGGAGGACCAGGGCCCATGGCAGGCAGCACCCTCTGACAGTGGGAGCTGGGCCCACTGGGAGGCCATTCACAGGCCTGAGTATTCAAGCCCTTTATTAATTTTGAGATAGACCATAAAGTCCACAATTCAATAGCCTTTGGTGTCATTAGAGATATGTGTAATTATAGCCATAATTGCAAAACATTTTACCCTCTCCAAAGGAAATTTTATTGCTATTAACAGTCATCTGCCTTCCCACCCCCTACTCCCATTCACCTGGCAGCTCATAGTCTTTGGGTCCCTATGGATTTGTCAGTTTTGGTCATTCCATATAAATGGCCTATATAACATGATCTTTTACCACTGGTGTTTTTTTACTCGGCATAATGTCTTCAAGTTTATCCATGTTTGGCTGGTGCTAGAATGCACTTCCTTTTTAAGGCTGAGTAATATTTCTTGATAGGCTCTTTGAGCATTCCCACTTTGGACTGTTGTGAGTAGTGCTGCTGTGAATGTGTGTGTATAACCTCCACACATCCCATCTACACACAGACACACACAGACACAAACAGACACACAGACACACAGAACACACACGTGCATGGACCTAGGCTCAGGGCTCCCTTCGCTGTGTTCCCAAGTGGGCACAGCTAGGTCACAGGCCCATGTCTTTAACTTTCCGAGCACCTGCCTGATAGGTTAGGTTTCCACGAAGCTGAATCCTATGGCCACACCCGTCAGATGAGGAGTCAGGCACTGGCCGTAGCTCCTAGCTCCTGACGGGCACAGGCCTCCTGCTAGGCTGACTGGTCTGGCTCAGGCAGGGCTCCGGAGGGGCTGTTTTTAGCGAGCTCAGAGGCCCTGAGGGCAAGGGCTGCCACCACACCTCAGGGAATGTTCCTGCACACACATCACCATCACTGTGCTGGCCAGGCTCACTGTTCCCAGGTCTGGGCATGCCCTGGCTCAGTCCAGAGCCTTTTTCAACACCGTACTAATGGCTAGAAGCTGAGGTTTTGCCAAGCCAGGCTGCTGAGTTGGCAGCACCCGTGGGCAAGGCAGGCCCTGCCCCACATCTGGTGAAGAGATTTGGGATTTGACAAATAGGCTGACAGCAAAGTAAACTCCCGTTTTTCTGCCCTCTTTTGGGGTGTGGAATGCCCTGTTTCATCTGCTGCCTCTGGAGCCACAGGCCCTGGAGTTTCCTGGACGGGCTTGCCATGCAAGGGCCACAAGCAAGTCACCTCCCCATGCCACCCACGCCCAGGGTCACTGGCAAGTTCTGAGCTCCCCCTCCCCCCAGATGCCCAGATCTTCAGTGCCGTCTTCTTTGATGGAACACCACTCCTGGGTCTGTACAGGTGCCCTGTTGTCTGGAGGTTTCTGAGCACCTGTACCCAAACGTGGGGTCCACTCTGGGCAGCTCCAGTTTGTTAGCCTGCAGCTCTGCCTCACTGTGCCCAGCAGCTCAGGGGCCTGTTCTCCCCTTGCCTCCCTCAGTTTACCCCTCATTGGAGTCTGACGAAGACAATCCTGTCTTCAAGTCCCGGTCGAAGAAGAGGAAAGGCTCAGACGATGCTCCCTACAGCCCCACAGGTAGTGTTGGGGGGTGGGGGCCTGACATCTGACAAGGACAGCTGTGTCATCATCTGCCATCCATCCTACTGCTGAGGACATGGGCTCTGTGCCTGTGCTGTCCTGTGTGTGGCAGGGGTGGCCTCTTAGCCACAGCTCCGTTCTCCTGGGGACTGGTCAGTGGCCCTAGGAGCAGGACTGGGGCTCGGACTGTGTCAGGGCCCTGAGCCCTGACCTCGCTTGCAACCTTTCACCCCCCAGAGCTGTCTAGCTTCTCCAGTCTTCTTTCATCAGTAGCCACCTGAGGGGTACCGATGTATCTGTGGCTAAGGGACGTCTACTGGGGTGGCCAGTGGGGTGGGGGTGGGGTCGTGCCCCTGCCTTCCAGGTTGCCTTCACAGTTTGCCGGCACCCTAGCCTCTTCCCCATGGACAGCCCAGTGTGATGTCAGCCTCTTGAGTTGTGAGGTGGCTTCTCTTGGGGTTCTTAGACACAGGGCTGAGCTGGGGTTGGAGGGTGGCACCAGGCCTGGAGAGGCAGGGGGCGGGGGCTGGAGGCTAAAGGGCTTGTTCTTCTCTTCTACAGCAAGGGTTGGCCCATCGGTGCCAAGGCAGGACAGGCCTGTGCGTGAGGGGACTCGAGTAGCCTCCATCGAGACCGGGTTGGCAGCGGCCGCAGCCAAGCTGTCCCAGCAGGTGAGGAGGGGCGGAGGGGATCCTCATGGAGGCCAGACCTCCATTGCCTCCACCTACACTGACCTCCCTGATGCGTCTGTCCTGTCCTCTACCCATGGGGCATTGGATTATAGTATGGCCCATTCCTCCTGGTTGCAGCTTCCAGCTGGGTGACAGGTAAACTGGATTGACAGCCTTTCCCCAGATAGTGCTGGACTGTTCTCTAGTGCAGGCCTCAGAGGGCCTCACAGCCACCCCCACCCCGCACTCCTCTGAGGGGCTCTCTTGACCTAGGAATCACGTTCAAGTTTCCTCCCAGATAAGTTAATGAGGCCCGTCCCCACCAGCCCTTCTAGTCTTGCTGGCTGCCTTTATCTCCTCCCAGTCCAGAGAGACAGAGTCTTGGGGTCTCAGGGACCTGATCCAGGCCTGGACACATCCGGGTAGCTCTGAGAGCCAAAAGGCCATGACAACTCAGAGTGCAGTGTCAGGGTGGTGGGCTGGTCCTGTGTGCCCAGCCGCCTGGTGACCATACACTGAAGGGGGCCAGGCTGGCAGCTCCTGGACACCAGTGCCGTGTCTCTACACAACCCTGTGTCTCAGGGCAGCTCAGGTTTGCACCCTCAGCCCTACATTGCTCAGTGAGGGTGCTTTGGTGTGCCCGACACTCAGCCTTTCCCATGCTTGGGCACCAGGGCCCAGGCCTCTGGGCCACAGCTCAGCTGGTCTGAGTCTCTTCCATGACTTGTATCTAGGCAGAGACCATACTGGTTGCTTGCCATGCTGGCAGCTTGAGCAGGCTCAGGGCCCGAGGCTGCCCTGTGGGTGACATGCCGATGTGCTTTGTTCCAAGGAGGAGCAGAAGAGCAGGAAGAAGAAGAGTACTAAAAGGAAGCTGCCTCCTAACCCTGTCTCATCCTCTGCCTCGGCCTCTACTGGTACCACCTCGGCCTCTACCACACCAGCCTCCACCACCCCAGCCTCTACTACCCCGGCCTCCACTACCCCGGCCTCCACCACCCCAGCCTCCACTAGCACGGCCAGTAGCCAGGCCTCGCAGGAGGGCAGCTCCCCCGAACCCCCGCCTGAATCGCACAGCAGTAGCCTGGCTGACCATGAGTACACAGCGGCTGGTGGCTTTGCAGGGGCTCAGGCTGGCCGCACCTCCCAGCCCATGGCCCCTGGAGTCTTTCTCACACAGAGGCGGCCTTCTGCATCATCCCCCAACAACAACACCGCTGCCAAAGGTACCCTTGTCCTGCCCGCCCTTTGCTGGGCCCTCAGGAAACCCCAGACTCGAGGACCCTGTCCTGTGGGCGAGGATAGCACAGGCTGAGGGGAGGTGCCAGCCTCAGACCGTGGGGTTTGAGAAAGCCCCCACTGCATCTCTCGGGAGTGCTTGCAGCTGGCCTGCTATGTGGGCAGGCCCTGTCCATCTGTGAAGACGGCAAAGATCAGGAGACGGTGCTGCATGGCCCATGCGGCTGGGTTGGGCTCTCTGTGCATTAGGTGGAGGTCCTCAGCCTGGGGCCAGTGTGCTGTGGTCAGCTCCTCGCTAAGGCTGGGGAGTGACCTGAAATGCACCAGGCTGGACCCAGGGCACTGGTCCCTCTGTGTGTTGGCGCCCCCAGCTAGCTGCCTGCACTCTGGCAGTGGTGCTGGGAGGAGGTAGCATGCTTGATGGGACAGGACCAGGGTGGTCGTCTCTCCCCACTCACCACAGTCCCTGGTTGGTGCAGCATCCTCTCAGCCTAGATGTTGGCACTGTGGTGGTGGTTCAGAGTTCCCTCTGCACATCTCTGGGGACAGAGCTGCCCTCTGGGTCTTTGGGGACCCCCCCCCCCAGCCTGTGGTCTGCTTCCCTGCCATCTGACATGTCTTCTTTTCTGTGTCCTCCCCGCTGCCCTCACAGGAAAACGTACAAAAAAGGGCATGGCCACCGCCAAGCAGAGGCTTGGGAAAATTCTGAAAATTCATCGGAATGGAAAACTGCTCCTTTAAAGTGTGGAAAGCCAGGATCCTTCTGCTCTGCTCAGGACCCCCCGGAGCCCCGCTAAAACATCAGCCCCTCCCTCCAAGGAGGGTGGCCTAGCTGCCTCACCCAGAGAGGACCTCACCTCCTCCCAGCCATCACTCCCCCCAATGAGCATCTGTCCCTTGAGCAGGCGGAGTGAGCCCAGTGAGCGGCTGTCCCTCGTTTTGAATATGGACATCCTTTCTCACGTTGCTTAGTGACCAGTTCCTCAAAAGCCAGTTTGAGGACCATTCCAGTTTCAGACAGCCTCCAGGCACCCCTGAGTGTGGGTGTGATTGCAGGGCCTTTGCAGCTCTGCTGGGAGCTTGAGTCCTTCAAGGAAGGTGGAGTGAGCCAATGCTCATCAGCCCCAGAGTCTGAGCTGGCCACAGGCTGGTAGCCTCCAGAGGCTTAAAAAAAGGCAAAGAACACAGAGATGAGGAGGAGCAAGCAGGATGCTTCTTTTAGCCCTTCCTTTCTCTTTCTGAGAGGTCTCAGACAAATCCACAGAGCACTCAGCCATCAAGAAGAGGCCTGCCCTGAGCTCCCCCAGCTGGCAGGTGGCAGGCAGGCTGACCACCCAGGGCTCTTTCTTTGGGGAGGCTAGGACCAGCAGCTGGTGTGTTCATGTGGGGAGGGGGCATTGTGGGGTTCCCAGGGAAGGGCAAGGGCTCAGCCACGTCTTAGGGTCCGGGGGACCCAGGCTAAGCCGCGTGGGGGGGCCCCATCCAGCACTGCTGGTTACACTCTGGAGAAGCACTTGTTGGCCAAGGCCCCTCCCCTTCCCCCCAGCCCTGAGACGACCGATGGGCGGGTGGCGACCAGGTGTCTTGGGTGCCTGTGGATGAGCACTTGTGTTCCCCCGCGTGGGCGCGTGGCGTCGAGCGCGGCCGTCCTGGATGGCATGTCTGCCCGTTGACACGGAGGGGCTGGATTTGTTTCTCAGGCAATCCTGTATTTTAATTTTAGATGTATTTCCTGAAGCATATTTTTCATAGAATGTAGCGTGTAAATAGCTTTTTAAATGACTTCTTTTTTATAAGAGTAAAAGTATCTCCTAGGAATTTCTTTCTATAGAGTCCTTCATTAACCTTTATACGAGTTTTTTGCCGACTACGATGGACACTTGGGTTCCGACGCTTTTTTCCTTTTTCCTTCTTTCCTTTTGTTATTATTCTTACTCTTATTTTTTTCTTTTAGGAACTAAGGTATTGCCTGAAAAACAAGTGCCGTGCGCGCAGCCTTATATACTCTGCCTCTAACAGAAGCAAATAGTCCACAAGAGATGTATTTCAGACGCGTTTTAAAGACGCGTCTTCAACTTTCATACCAGCTCTTTTGTTTTCCTTCTTGTATGACGAGGGATCGGGGAAACAGTTATTTTACTAGCACCTTGTGAAGTGTTTCTGTGTTTTGTGATGCTGTAATTTATTAATGTTTGTAGCTTTTTATATTTGTACATTTCTTATGAGCTTTGTTTATATGCCCATGATCTGGGTGTTCTGTCCGCGAGGAGAGGCAGCTTGGCGGAGGCCTTACCCACGCCTGCCGTCCTGTGAGCAGGGACTCCGGCCACCCCACCGTCCCCAGGGCCTAAGGCTGCAAGGGAGTCCACCCCCCACCCAGCCCCGGGCCACGCAGAACTGGTGTTTTTAAAGCTTCCTTCCCCCCCGTCCTTGTGACCATTTATATAATCTAACCCCAGGCATCAAGCTGTCCTCTCTCTTCCTCTCTCTTTTTAATTTTATTATTATTTTGGCAACATGTACATTTCTAACAAAAGTTTATCGTGGCTATTAAAGTGTTTTATTTCCCAATTCATATTACTCTTGTATCGAGTCCATGAGGTCTAAGGCAACTTAGACCAAAGTTTTAAAAAAAAAAAAAAAGTAAAAATATTTCAGGTTTTGTACAGAATCATGTCTGTGTAGTTTCTGCCTCTTTCGCTGTGGTCCAGACACCACCTTGCCCAAGCCCCAGGCCATGGCCACCAGCATCCCCCGGGGAGAGGCTGGGCTTGGATCCCGAAGCTCCCATGACTTGAGCCTGGCCAGCAGGGCCCAGCCAAAGAGCTTCTGGGACCCTGGTGGTACAGTCTCCAACTGTGGCCCTGCAGCTGTGGGGAGGATCTTCCTGTGCATTGTCCTGTAGGCAGGGTCACCTTCACAACAAACCCACACAAACAGCCCCGCTAGCCTCTCCCTCCAGTGACTTGAGGATGGGGAGCATGCTCCATGGCAACCGGTAACCATGGTGCATGTGGGCAGGGTGGCAGGGACATGAGCAGAGCTGGTTGGAGGGATGCACGTGAATTGCAGCAGCGGTCTAGGAATGGCCTGCCCTCGGGCCACACCTGCTATTCAAGTTTAGGTCCCAGCCTCAGATCCGCATGGATCTCTCCAAGTGACAGTGACAGAAACTAGCATGGGGACTCCAGAGAAGGAACTACAGATGGGGTGTGTGGCCAGGATCACCCAAGTGTGCAAAGAGTCGAGCAAACTAGAAGCAGATTCTTTGAAGGAGAACCAGCTGCACTCCAGGCTGCCCAATCCCTGGCAGTGGAGCACTGTGGGTATAAACCACTTGGTGACCTTTTCTCAGGGAGCCTGTGCCATGACCTTGGGTTCCTTCTCTGAGCATCCTCAAGTCCCAGTTAGATGCTCCAAAGAGACACCCCATCTTGAACAGCTGAACGGAGGCACTGTGTACATGATTTCTGGATCTCAGATCTGCAGGGTGGGGGTAAGGTCCTGGTGTTGCCACCCTGCTGGGCCTGTATTCAGCTGTAGGCTGGTGGGGATTTCAAATGTAGTATGGACAGTCACAGCCCAGACCTCAGCAAGAGATATGGGGCCTATTAGCCCCTATTCAGTAATAACAGGACTGTCCCTGGGGTCCCCAGAGCTGATAGAAGACAGTACCCTGGACTGAGGTTCTCTGGGCTGTGCTGCTTCTCCAGGCTCAGGTACTGGAGCCTGGTCAGGACCCGGAGCCTGGAGTCCCTACAGCTAGGCTGTCCAGGGGCTGGTTGATTTGCCCCTCTCCCATTTAGGCTATGAGGACTGTCGGGAAGCTAGGATCCCAATCCCAGTAGCAGCTTCCCGATGCTACATGGCCTCTCTCTGGGCCCAGACTCCATCTTGTGCCGTCCTGGCACTAGCCTGGAACGTGGCCAAGGGCTGTAAACTGGTGCCCACTGTGTGCTTCCCCCTGTGTATCTTGTATAAAGGCAGAGGGCTGAGTGGCCCTGAGGTGCAGGACGGGGCCCTGGCCAAGACCATCCTGGTCTGATGCGCCCCCTGCCTCCAGAGGGCCATGCCCACAGGCCTCAAAATAGGGAGGCTGGGAGGGGAAGCCCACAGCACAGTGGCTCCCTAGATGCCCAACTCTACCCCTTCCTCACCCCTCCCTCCACAAGGGGGGTGGGGTGGGGTGACAGGAACAGGAACCGGGTCCCTTCACTTTCTGCTCTGCACCACCAGGAGGAGCCCTTGTTCTGACCTCAGTGGGCACCTTAGCTCAAAGGCCAGGATGAGGTGGTCCCTCCATGCCAGAGGACCCAAACTTGGGGCTGGGTCTCTACTGCAGGGAGAACTGACCTCCACCCAGCACAGTCCCCTCCTGGGTCCCAGCACAGTCCCCTCCTGGGTCCCAGCACAGTCACAAGGAAGCCATTGATGGGACTTTGTGCCCAGAAAGATCCCTTGACCTTGGCCTGGAGCATAATTCCCTGCAGCTGGTCCTGACCTCCTGCTGGTCTCGACAGAATAGAGAGCCTGGGCTTTTGGTCCCAGGACCTGAGGTTCTGGGGCTGTTTGTTCTGCAGCTGTCTTAGCTCTACCTGACTGATGCGGCCTCACCTGTCCAAGGAGCAGGAGAACCCACACGTGGCCCTTTTCAGCCTTCCGGTCCATGCAGACTCGCCTGGTTTCCTGATTCTCCAGTGCAGGGCTGGGTGGAGATGCTGCCCCAACTGTCATTCAGGGCCACAGTGACTGGGGGAGGGGTGGGGGTCAGGGGGTGTGATCATCTTTAGTTCATGTCACCATGAAGTCCACAGAGGCTCAGAGCACAGCCAGAGCCATGCTGTCTCTGCACCACAGGACAAGGTGTAGGTGGCCCACCCATGGGAAGGACAGGCCTGGAAGGTCCCTGGAGTAGCCCTATGGGAAATGGGGACATTTCTGAGGCAGGCAGCCAGACCTCTGTGAGTAGAGGGAGAGGCTGGTGGGCCATTGCCAAGGGCTCCCCATCCCCCACCTCCTTGCCATGTGTCCATCTACTCCGTGTTTGGCTGAAAGCTCAGCAGTAAAGTATCTCAGTCTGTCCCCAACATCAAGTTTATTGAGGTCTTCTTGTCCTACTGCCCCAGAGCCAGTCCTTGAACCTGCAGGAAGAGGCCCAACAGGAAGGCCATGGGGGTAATGCTTAGAATGAACACCAGGGGGCAGGGCAGGGCCAGCAACAGGCTGCCCATTGCTGGTGGTTATTTAGAGCCTAGGGCTGGTTACAGATCTGTGATTGGATGGGGAGGGGGAGGAGGGGACAGTGACTCAGGAAATAACACACAAGCTATGGATGCTTGGGGAGAGGTAGTGAAATCCAGACTACCTTAGTCATTAACTCTGAAGCATTGGTGTCTGTATTTTCTTTCGTGTGCTACAAAGTCACCCTTTGAGGGAGGTCCTATGAGAATCTCTTCTTTACTAATGGGGAAAATGAGGTACTCAGTTACACAGAGGGTAGCAAAGGATTTAACTACAGCCAAATCATCTCATAGCCCTTAGGCTTTGGGGAGAGACCATCCTGCAGCACATAGTAGCCAGGAAAACAGCCCCCCCAAAGCCAGCTGGAAGAGTATACAAAATGCACAAATGCCCAGGTGACAAAATTGTCCTTTCCAAGGATGTCTGTGCAAGTGGAGAGGGCTGATTCCCACTGGAGGGTCACATGGGTCACATGCCCACTAGAGGTGCATGCTCACCCAGCACTGTCCCTACTCCCTCCCCTCTGGGTATTTGACTCTCTCCAGCCTGACTGGGCCTGGGCCTGCCTCAGACCCTGCACAGTCCTGCACAAGGAGCCTGCTTGCAGAGAGGGACACCGAGGCAGGGTTTGTCTGGTCACGTAGCAACCAAGAGTCTCTGCCCTTCTTGCAAATGGCATCAGGAGATTGAACAATGGGAGTGAGAAAAACATGTGCCAGGCACCAGTGCTCACACCTGTGATCCTAGTTACACAGGAGGCTGAGATCCTGGGGATCGAGGTTCAAAACCAGCCAGACTAGGCAGAAATGTATTGAGACTCCATCTCGATTAACTAGTAAAAAGCTGGGTTGGAGGTGTGGCTCAAGTAGCATAGCACTAACCTTGGGCAAACAAACTGAGCAAGACAGCAAAACCCCTATAGCAACGCAAAACAGTCAACAAAGCAAAACATGTAAAGGATTAAAAAAACAACCTAGTGGGTATGGAGGTCTTAGCACTTTCTCTCTCTCTCTCTTTTCTTCCACTCTCTTTACTTTTTCTTTTCTTTTTGCCAGTACTAAGGCTTGAACTTAGGTCCTGGGTGCTATGTCTTAGCCTTTTTGCTCAGTCTGGTGTTGTTCCACTCAAGCCATAGTTCTACTTCTGGCTTTTTGCTGTGCAATTGGAGATAAGAGTCCTATGGACTTTCCTGCCTGGGACTGGCTTTGAATTGCAATCCTCAGACCTTAGTGTCCTGAGTGGCTAGGATTACAGACATCAGCCAGCAGTGTCCGGCCAACCACGGGTCATCCATGTGGCCATGGGTCACATTTACTAAAGGTTCACTGTATGCTGTCAGGGTCCCCAATTTTTCACATGGCTGACTCCTAATCATGCTCCCTGAGTGCTATCCACAGAGAGAGCAGGACTGTGTGGACCAGCCAGTCTGGCCTGGGAGGAATCTGAGAAGGTGACTATTGAGCAGACAGACCCCTGAGACAGGGACGCAGTGTTCTGGAGTGGGAACAGTATGTGCAAAGGCTCTGGGAGCTGGGAAGGGGCGGGGAGAGCAGAGGGAGATGACTGAGGAATAGCTGGAAAGCAGTGAAAGCAGAGGGAAGTGGGTGGAGGGCTAGCTGGTCAGAGTTGGAAGCTTTGTGTTCTCTAGCCCTTGGCAGGCCCTCCCCTCACCTGGTTATCTCAGCTTCCTCATCTGCAGAGTTGGAGCAATAGTCCTGACTTGAACCAGTGCTACTCACACGCCAGCTACCCTTGGCTACGCACTGTACCCACCCAGCCCTTCTGTAAGGCACTCTACTCCACTGTCCTGCCCAGAGGACCTGGCTCACTGTGGGACCTTGGGTAGGTTAGTTTCCCTCTGTGGGCCTTTTTTCCTTTGCTTTCTTGATGATAGAACCTCTCCACCTGGAGGGGAAGGGAGGGACTTTCAACATGCCTGGTGGGCAGATCTGTCCTGGGAGAAGGGGAGAAGCTGCTGGTGGGCGCCAGGTGCCAGACCTTTTTGGATGATTAATTAAACATTTACTTATTTCCAGTTTTCACACTTTGGAGTGAACCCTTTGTTCATTTTTTTCCAAACACAGCAGGATTTTTTGGGTGGATTCCCGCCCCCCTCCTCTCCTTTATCCCTCCTCCCCGCCTCCCGCGCCCCCCCCCCTTCAGCTTGGGAAGCAGGGCTGTGTCTGGTAGAGGGAGTGGGGTGCAGGGCAGAATAGCCAGTGGGGAGGGGTGGCCACAGGAGGGGAGCTGGGCTGTCTACAGCCTGACAAATGGTCTCCCATAAAGTCCTGGCCTCCCTCACGAACCGCCCACCGCCCACTATGAGTCCAAACAAGCCAGGGATGCCACCTCGGCAGAAAAATGAGGCTATTCCATTAACATCTGACACGGATTTACAGGCCCCAAACAGAAGAACTAGCGTGTAAACAC